AGGTGGCAGGGGAGATAACAGCCTGCGACCTCCTAGGGAGCAATGAAGAACAGCCACGGACTGCAGGGACACGTTAGTGGCTCATGGGTTGTGAAACCTGTACAAGCAGTTAAACGTGCAGTACAGCAATAACTTAGTCCTGGTCCACACTACTGAAAAATAACACCCCAAACCAACCTCAGCAGTGAAAACAATTATAAACCTGAAAAGAAGTCTCAAGTCCTGAGTCTGGATTTCACACTGCTTAGCACTGCTGCTGAGTTTACCAGCTATCAAGTAGCTGTTGATTCACTACAGCTTTCAGTTTAACATTTTAAGGTGAAAATTTAACACCGTTTGCTTCTGTTAAAATAGTACATACGAGAGACAGCTGCAGGAAAAGGGAAGATAGATTTCTGCGGCCATCCCAACCTGTGCTACCTCTGGACCAGGGCCCTTAAGCTGCTGCAGGCCAGGATAATACTTGCTCAGTATTACACAAGCTTTGATGACACCAAAGTTTTAGTTATTAAACAAGCCCACCCCTTTTTTCAGCTTTAATGTGTTGAATCATGAACACTACAAAAGCATTTTGAACCAACTGCTATTCCAGAAGAAATAAGTTCAGTCAGTATTTGGTTTTATGGTTTTTTTTTTGGAAGTAGTAATTCAAAGTCCTACTTACATGGTTTTTCGTCAAAGCCAAGTACTGCAGATTGGTCAGATAACTGATTTCTTCAGGGATGGAGGTGAGTTTATTATAGCTAAGATCCAAAGACTGTAATTTTTTACAAAGAAATAGCTGCAATGGAACATTTTTAATATTATTATAATTTAGATACAATTGTTCCAGGTTTGATAATGCACCAATCTGCACTGGGACATACGAAATACTGTTGTGCCACAATTTTAAGCAAGAAAGGTTCTTAAGATGCTGAAAACTAATTATTTCTTCCACTGTTCTGAGGTTATTTTCTTTTAAGTCAATTTCATGCAAATTGTTCAAGGTAAAAATCGAGTGGGGAATGCGCTCTAAATCACAGCAGATTAATTCCAAGGTTCTCAGGTTTACTAGCTTCTTCAGATTATTGAGCACTATCAGTTTATTTCCCTCATTGTTGATAGATAAGTGCTGTAAAGAAGGCAGAAGATCTGTAACCACTTGAGGTATACGGGAAAGGTTGTTTTTTAAGTGAATTGATCTCAGATTTTTTAGCCCCTGAAAGCTTTCGTTGTATATGGAGTTGTGATGGTCAAGCATGAAATATCCTGTTAAGCACAATTCTTGTATGTTTTTCAGATGAAAAACCCAAAATGGAATTCTTCCCATCTCACTGGATTTCAGGCGCAACGTTTTCAGGTTCTCTTCTAAGAAGCTGACTGCTGAATAATCCATAGTTAGCGATGAATGATAAACATTTAGTTCTTTGAGATTGACTAGCTGGGTCACAGCTGAAGGAAGCTTGGCTTCAGGAATAAGTTCCAGGCTTAGGACTTCTATTTCTGTCAGTTCAAAGACACTGTCTGGAAGACCATTCAACATGAAAAGGTGAAGTTCAACCTTGTCTTGGGAATTTCTCACTAGTTTATTTTTCAGTTTTTCCACTGACCATTCATTGTTAAGGTTTATCTGTTTCAGCTTGTTTTCACTCAAATCAGACAAGAATATTGAGAAGCGCTGGGAATAAAGAGGATCATACTGGTCTGCCAAGTGGAGAATAAATGCAAAGTCATTCTTTACATCAGGTATATCACTGTAATTACTCTTCTCTCTCAACTTCTCAAAAGAATATTGCTTAAGTGAGCTTCTTAACATCCACCACAAACTGTAAGTACAAGTTAAGCCGTAGAAGATCACTAAAACAACATAAAATGAAGCCAAAACTTTAAAAATTTCTGCTAGTGAATAAACACATTGGTACCTTTTGTAACCTGTAAAGGCTTGAACATTTACTACGCAATCGATTTCAAGTGTAATAAATGATAAATAGTAAGGGACATAAATTATTATTATTACAAATACAATGACTTTCACTATAATTTGTTTCATATACACTGTATATATGACATCCTTCTCTTCAACATGTACTCGGAATTTCTTCACTTTTTCAAATATAGCTTTAGCTTGTTCCCCTTCTTTTTTGTCGAGAACACTTGATGAATTTTCTCTTCCAGTTGTTTCCATGCCAGGCTGAGAATAAGGCAGGGACTGTCTGCTGGCCCCTATATCTACTGAACTCCCAGGTGATGAAATCGCTGCTTTTGATTTGGCTATTGGCAGCTTCCTCACAGACTGCTCAGCAACTGTTTCTGAGAGGGCCCGTGTTGTCCATGGAGAATCGAAACACTTCTGAAGAATGGCCACAAAGTGCTCAAGCCTGGAACTTGTACTAGGATAGTAAAGCCAGAAATTACTGCAAGCTGCAAAAATAAAGGTATGCAGAAGCACTAGGTATGGAAAAAATTTGGCAAACCAGTGAAGCTGTCTCTCATAACATACTGCATCAATGTAGGAATACTGCTGCCGATGGAGATAATTCTGGATCTTAAGCGGGATGGTTATCTGCGCTGGAGAGCCAGCCGACATGTTCAGGTTGGCTTTAACCAAATCCCAAGGCACGGCACAATGATTGTCAAATTCTAGCTTGCAAGGAAGACAACACAACACTCTGGTTTGAGTAAGCTGGAGAGCCCCAGCGAGCACAGCAACTAGCAGCATTATCATGGTGAGATAATACCAGAAGACATCCCACCATGGTTTTAGTATGTGGTAGGATGACTGGGCATCTGCTAAGTATTTGAGTTCTGTTAGCGTGATCATGACTTTGACCTGTGAGAGAACAGCAGCTGGTAGAGGAAAAAAGAAAACACATCCTTAGAGAAATGCTAAAACCAATTTACCTCACTATTAAACAACTGAAGCTTATTACTGTTTTCACAGTTCTAAATGTGTAATGTTTAGACTAGCACCCAGAGCATAGCAAAAGAATCCAAGGACTCCTGGCACTTAACCCTAGCCATCCTCTTATTTATTTTAAGGACAGTTACTTGGACTGCAAAAATTTAAATGAAGAATGAAACTAGTATCAGAGGTTAGCAGAAAGTATATTTTAACCAAACATATGGGTACTATTCAAGTAGAAGCAACAAGCAGGTATAAGTAGTGTCCGACACATTACTGGCAGTCTTTCACCACTGTCCTAAACCTAGATAGTGAAAGTGATTTCTCATTTATGAAGAATTTAAAAATCAGCGATATATTAACATGATGGCTCTTGTAATTTATAACTTTCTACTAGATTATTCTACCCAATAATAAAGAATACACACACACACACAAATCTCAAAACATTACATATTCCTATATAATTCCCCATCTTCTCCCATCAAAAGATTTAAGCATAGTGACAGAATGAAAATGAAGCTGACAACTTGTTGTCCAGTACTGTCATACATAAAGTGTCACAGCCCGCAGAAGCACAGGTTTGATTCATACTTACTTTACTAAAGAGAAAAAAAAAATACACAGCACTGCTCAATCAGGAGGTCGACACCTTTTAAAATTCCTTGGACATGCCATCTTTACATTTGTCTTCATTCTGGATAGAAAAAACATTGAATATAAGTAATTTTTAATGGTTCCAACTAAATAAAGAGCAAACATTTCAGCTTTCATGTTCGAATGCTGCCTTACTGCAGATGTCACAATCCAGTAACCTCTACATTGCTACACCTACATGAAGTGGAACAGAACATATTCAGACGTGATCACATAGAATGTCAAGTTATTGCATAGTTACATAGAATCCTAGCATTGTTTTGGTTGGAAGAGACCTTTAAGATTATCAAGTCCTACCGTTAGCCCAGAACTGTCAGGTCGGCACTAAACCATGTCCGTAAGCACCACATCACCATGGCTTTTAAATACTTCCATGGATGGTGACACCATCATTTCCCTAAGCAGCCTGTTCCAGGGCTTGACAACACTTTTGCTGAAGAAATGTTTCCTAACACACAATCTAAACCTCCCCGCAGTGCAACTGAAGTCCATGTCCTCTTGTCCTATTGCTTGTTACTTGGGAGAATGGACCAACCCCCAACCTCCTCTCTCAGGTAGCTGTAAAAAACAAGGTCTCCCCTAAGCCTCCTTTTCTCCAGGCTGAAAAACCTTAGGTCCCTCAGCTGCTCCTCGTAAGACTTGTGCTTTAGACACTTCACCTCCTTCACTGCCCTTCTTTGGACACACTCCAGCACCTCAATGTCCTTTTTTCAAGCAAGTGGCTCAAACCTGAACACAGCACTCAAGGTGCAGCCTCACCAGTGCCAAGTACAAGGGCCAAACTATTTCTGATACAAGCCAGGATGCTGTTGCCCTTCTTGGCCGCCTGGGCACACTGCTGGTACATATTTATAATATCTTGGTACTAGGCATTTCAATTCCAAACAGAGCTGACAAGCTGTTATAAGAAGACAAACAAGAGCTGAACTAAGGCAGAACCTTATTCTTACTCCACATTCACAATTGAAGAATGGCTGAAAATAAGTTAACCCTTCTGGCATTGACAAGGTTACTTTTAACAGAATGTATAACTTACCAGGCCCGCTCAAGAGAATGCAGCTGAAGGACAGGATCGTTACAATACCGTCCTGGAGAGAAAATAAATTGTCATTAGCTCATTAAATATTTGGATTCCAATAACTGTGAATATTAGAATGACAGCTCATTACTTCGTCCACAGCAGTGTTTTAAAAATTAAACATTCCACAGGCAAGAGATTCTACAAGATCTATTCAGATTAATTTAAGATCCCACCTCCATCAAATTATTTAGTTGGTCACCACCAGAAAGTTGAGATATCCCAAAGCAGAGGTAAAATAATGGCCCTTGTCACTGTTCCCTTTCTAAGGACAAAAAGCCTCAACAGGGACCACAATAAAGTTGTGAAGAACTTACTATGAGATAAATATATTAAATGATTCAGACAGAGCAAAAGGTACGAACAGTGTATTTTTAACAAGGAAAAACTAAATGCTTCTTAGAGAAAATTCCAAGTAACAGTTTAATACTGCACGTCTGTACTTTGCACTTTTATACAAAGAACACCACTCTCCTGGTAACAGACCTATTTTGGTGAATAAGCAAGGCTCTCACTGAGTATAAGGGACAAAGTACAATACAACAGCTAACACTGTTTGCTAAAGTATTTTCTCTAAAAGTTATGGAAATAAACAGAAAAGAAAACTTAAGACAATTCTATTAAAAATGTATCGGTGTACTTGAGAATATGTATAACCAAATACACCATCTCCAAGCAATGCCATAATGCTTAAACAAAATGTAGTTTTTATAAAGATTGGGATCTCAAATGGAACAGACCCATGTAATTTTGTAAGGTCTCTTTCTCTAAAACACTTTGTCACCTCCCTGCCTTGAACTGGAAAATTGTTTGTCCCATATCCCAGAACAAAAGGCTGCATTCTTGCTGTGGTTTTAGGACACTTTCTAGCAGAAAGCAAGTGTTACAATATTAAGTGTTTAACTACTTTAACACTGGTCTTATTTCTACTTTTTCAGACCTTCCAATGAGACATGCATAGTCATTACAATTCTGTCAATGAAATAAAGCTTCCTATCAGAAAAGTACAGTATATACAATATAAACATGTGAAATATTAATTATAATTTTGTTAAAGACAGCTTTCTTTCAAATCCTATCTATAGACCAAGAGTGACTATTCAAATGGAATAATGCTGAACC